AGGCTCCCCAGAGAAACTGCAAAGAGAAGGTGACATTTGGACAAGTATTTAAAGGAAGTAAGATAGTGACTCCCAAGGATTCTAGAGGAAGACCGTTGCTGGTAGAAAGACCAGCAAGTGACATGGCCCAGAGGAGGGACAGTGTGCAGTTTTCAGGTCACTGTAGCTAGAGCAGAATGAGTGAAGAGAAGAGTAGAAGACAAACTCAAGGTATTAAGGGTGAATTTCATCATATAGAATCTTGGAGTCCGCTCTAAGGACCTTGACTTTGACTTTGACTTTGACTTTGACTTTGACTTTGACTTTGACTTTGACTTTGACTTTGACTCTGACTCTGACTCTGACTTTGACTTTGACCTGAAGAGCCACTACAGGATTTTGCATCATCAAGGGAGTGGCATGATTCAGTTTACTGATCTCTAAAGGAACCTGAGGGACAAAGAGGTAAGGACAGGAGGGGGACTCACACCAGCACATTGTCCTTGTGAGTCTTGTTGCTGAAGGGGCTGGTGAAGGAGAAGTAGGAAGATTCTGAAATATTTTGGAAGTAGAGACACCAGGTTTGCTGACGTATTGGAGGTGAGAGGAGAGGAGGCAGAGTAACCCTGTGGTTCCTCATTTGAGTCTGTGCTTCCAGAATACAAGGCAAGGAATAAGGCGAGGAAAGTCCAGGTGCACTTTTGTTTTTTAAGCTATCTACCATGCCTCAGACTTCAAAAAAAGAGACAGGAAAATCAGGATGAAAAATACAAAAATAGATTTTCCAAGATTTATTTTCAAGTTTGCCCTTCTGTTTTTTTCTTTCTTTCTTCTTCCCAGCCATGGTATGTGTGTGATCACTCTTCCATTTTTTCAGTGTTGCTGATTCTCAGAATGTTCTGTGGTACACGGCAGAATCTGATTACAGAAGGTTTCTTTTCTAACCTGCCCCTTACAGACTTGGTGGGAAGATGTAGAGCAATTTCCAAGGGGCCGATTTAATTTATTAACACCAGAACAGACACCAAATTTATTTCCTTTGAGTGAACAAACCCTCCAAAGGCTATTTTGCAATACAGCAAGCAGCTTCTGTTTTATCTCAAAGTGATTTGGTCAAATATTTTGATTGTGGTTGCTTCTTTAAATTCATTCTTATTCCCACTAGGCCTTTATGCTTTGATCTTTTTCTTCCAGACTTCCTTACCACCCCCTCAACACACACTCTTCTGAGGACACTCAGCTGGTACTCTTTTGCAAATTTCAGAACAAGTTAAACTATGTTAAAATTGTGTACTCGGTTTTGACGTAGGTGCCTCACGATTTGAGCAGTTTGCTATTTTGGTGATCTCTAAGTATACAAGTATCTGTAGCTATATAAAAATACAACACCTTAAAGATTTACACCACAACAGAATATATTTTTTTAAGGATGCCTTAAAACATGTTAAAAATTACTCCTTCACTCACCTTGAAAAGCACCCAAAAATATCTTGATTCCTTAGCACCAAGCACAAAGTTACCCAATTGTTTATTAGATCCATTCTTCTGCACCACTCCTTAAGACAACATGGAATCTGTGGCTAAAATTTGGAGCTGACTTTTGGAGGATTCCCTGAAACACAAGGATTCCTGGGTGCTTACATTACCAGATTTGGATATAGCTTATTCTCCAGTTCTGTGTGTGCATTGAAAGGTTGGAAAATAGCAACAATCATCCTAAAGCAGCTCAATACACACCATCCTTATCCTGAGATTTTGTTGGTTTGTTTCTCCTTTGCTTCTCTCTTAGAAAATTCTCCTAATACCACAAATCATAATAGGTCTTTCCACATATTTTCTTACTTAAATTTAACTAGTGAGTCAACATACCTCGGGAATTCCCATGTATGAGATGAAAATCTGATGCTCAGAGTTATGCAGAAACTTACCAAAAATCACCTGGCAGAGCCAGTGAAAGAGCTGTGGCTCAAACTTTAGATTTGCCTGCCTCTAAATCACTTCCACTTGATGATAGTACTGTGCTGTCCCCACCACCCACACCCCTCTTGGTGTTGTCCCCAGCATATGCTTAGTCCTAAAGGTGCCATTCTTCCTACCCCAAGCCACAGAGGGTCACCTGGAAGATCACAGGTTCTGTACTGGATTTTGCCCTGTTCCTGCCAGGAACCTCACGCAGCCTCTTGCTTTGCTCCCCTATGGTGACCCCAGGAGTGTGCAGTGCTATAGTGAGTACACCTTACTATCAGGTTCTACCCTCTAACCTCAGAGATCACACATGTGCTGACTTCTGTAGGTGGGCCTTCAATTGCTGTCTTTCTAGAAAGTAACCTTCAAGGGAGAATTTCCTTTAGGCCATGGAACAGCCATTGTCAGCACTTAGCATGCAAAATGATTGCCAGGGGGAACAAAGAATGGTCAAGAGAAGGGTATGAACTAAAGTTCAAAAAGATAGCTCTTAAACTAGCCACAACTGCTTTGCCATGCTGCCCATTGGACTATACTCCCACTTTTCAATAGCACAGAGATTCTAAGATGTTGCTGCAATAAGAAAAATAGTAACACAATCTGAAAAACAACCCTTCCTGTTATGTAAAAGGTTTGAGGACCTACAAAATCTCAGTTCCAGAATGATTTCCTATCCTGTTCACATAGTCAGTTCTTGGAGAATTTGAGAAAGCCAGCCTCGTTTGTGGCCCGTACTTTATACTAAAGTATGCTTACTGCGAGAGTGGGTAACTATATCCTTATATATTTTAGGGCTCCTTTTTTGATCATTTATCTCTGACACACATATAAGCTCTGAAAACATTCTTGTAATCACAAACAATATGTACTCAGCTGGTTTCCAGCAAATATTTTCTCTGCTATGTTTCATGACTTTAAGACAGTATTTGGATTGGGTTATTATTTCAGGTTTTCTTTCCACAGGTTTGTTTCCTCTTTGGAATCCTTTCCTACTTTATTATTATTTTATACATAATTTTAAAACAAATATTGTTCATCTTTAATTCATAGAGCTCTAGAATTATCTTAAGTTCAAAGAATAAGCCTGACACCATGGTAGATTGATTTTGTTTGTTAAAAGCTACATCTCCAATAAATTTTCAGGACCTCCTTTTTCCTCTCCTGGACTGAAAAGGACATAATTAGGGACTTCTTTAAGTCTTCTTCCACAAGAAGTAAGCCTTCTTGTGCCTTAAGGCTCCAGAGTATTGAATATCACTCTTATTTTTTGTTTGAGTCCTCAGGAAAAAAACTAGATCTGGCAGTTGGAGAAGTGGCTGGCATCTCTGCTGCCTGGGCAACTTCCAGGCAGTCACAGCCTCCAGTCCTCTGCCTCTATCTTACATCCTTTATCTCTTTTTTCTCTCCTTCTTTGATCCCTTTTACCCTTTTGTTTTCTAGTCCCTGGGTTTCTTTCCTTTCCCCTTTTATTCCCATAGTTTGCCCTGGAGAATAAATAAAAACAACCATATCCACACCTTCCAGGTTGGTGAATGTTGCTCTGGCCTTCAGCACTCCTCAAGGATGGCCACTGTGCCCATCTGCTCATCCTTCTTTCCCATCCCCTGTGCAGTGCAAGCCATGTAGTGCCCTCTTTTTCTCTATGTAATGCATTTCCCTTGAGAATACACTCTGAGCTGCACATTCATTGCCCAGACTGAGGTGCTTCTGTCCTAGAGGCTACCTTCATATCCTAAGCAGAAAGGACCCCATACTAAGTCTCTGTCACCACTGACTGGGCTGTTGCTTATTTTGTAAGCAACTGGAGGGGAGGGAAGAGTTTGAAGTCCCACCTTTTATCGATAGCCCAGTACCTTCAGGTTCTCAAATGGAGAAATGAGCTAACAAATCCATAAACCAGCTACACAAGTCATCACCGTGACCTACCCCACAATCCACATCCACGGAGAAAGGAGGGTAGTGGATGTCAGCTTGCTATGTCCCATCCAACAGAAACATTTTGGTTTGGTTTGGCTTGTTTCAATTTGGTTTGGTTTGGATTGGTTTGATTTGGCCTGATTCTAACTACAAAAGCAAAAGGAGATATCCAAACTGCCTAGTGGGGAAAATTGTAGGGCTTAAGGTATTTTGAGGAACTCATATCTGAATGTAGGCAATTATTAGTCGATTTAAAATGAGAAGTGTTTTGTATCTTGAATGTTCCCAAGGCAGAAAATCAAGGATTAAAAAAGAGAAATGTGCTGTGTGTCATTAATCTCTGTACCTTTGCATGCTTATTTTCTATGCTTGCTGCATGAGTTTGCCCATCAATTATGTCAATAATGAATAAGAAAAGATGCTGTGTGCTTGTGGCACGGCGATTTGAAGTGATTAATTTGAGAATGGTTTTTTTTTTCAGCACCTTTCCCAAAGTGTCTCATCACCAACATGACTTGCTGTGTTCAGTTGATCATTCTTTGCCCTAAATCTCCAAGTGGAATCAGTTGCCTCCTTAATGCTTTAATTGCAGCTGACTCAGCTCATCTAGAAAGCTGTGATGCCTGTTCTTGATTTGTTCAGAAACTGCAGTGTTAATTGTGACAAATGCTTGAAACCCAAAGTCAAACTAAAGGACTTTGGGCTTGACTTTCCTTCCCAGCTCATTGCCAAAAAACAGTCTGGGATGAGTACTTAACTCCAGACAAATGGCTATGCCTCCTCTGTTTCTTCAGACTGTTTTGGATCGTAGCAGTATGGGGTGGAGTTTAGTGATGCTTGATATTTTGTAAGCAATTGGAAGGGGAGGGAAAATTTCCACATCCCACCTTTCACCTATGGGCCAGCACCTTCAGATTCTCAAATGTAGAAATGAGCTAAAGAATCCACAAAGGTAAGACAATTCTTTCATGCAAGTGGCAGGGCATTTGGGTTGGACAGAGTGCTATGGTCACTGCTCCTAGAGAGGCACAGCTGAAGAGGTCACATGCCTGCCCTGCCAGTGCTTCTCGCTGGCCATAGACCTTTCCTTTATCTTTCTCCTCACTGTGTCTCCTCCCTGCAACTTTCTCTTGCTTCAGGGAGGTTCAGAGAAAAGGCTTCAATTCTCCACAAGATCGCCAAGAAGAAGTGCCAAGTGGATGAGAACGAAAGGCAGAATGGGGCTGCCAATCATGTTGGTGAGTACAAGCAGACTGCTCCCTAACACGGTGCAGGGACTGGAGGACAGAGAGGCCCTGCCAGTATGTATAGCCCTGGCTCCGGGCAGATGCAAGACCCTGCAGCTCAGTCCTTTTCGGCACATCAGGAAATGAATTCCTGTTTCCTGAGTGGGGCAGGACAGGTGTGGACAGTCTGACACCAATAACTCTAGGAGAAGTCAAAACACAGTGAAGCAATTCTAACCAACTCCTTGCCAAGCATCATCATTCAGGAATAAACAATACTTTATTTCAAGGATTCCACACAAAGGGGACACGCACACATGTACACATGCACACACACACACACATACTGTCTAATGTTTAACACAGGGTGAGAATCCCCCTTTCTCTAATTCCTGTCTGGTAACCAGATCTTACACCTGTAACATTGCTTACAGCTCGCTCACTAAATTATGTACCACTCAGATGACTGAATGCCAGAATCCGAGCCGAGCCTGCCTCTTTCTTAAGAATTCAGCAGTATCAGCCCAGGTCTCTTTTGGCTGACTTTTCCGGAGTTCTTGTGTGACCAGATTGTGACATTCAGCATTTTATTTTAACTTGGAACATGATATTCCTGCTCTCCTGTCTGTAACTATAATATAGCTCTCTATTTCTAAATTCAAACTAAATTTAACCTAATCTGGATCTATGCTATAAACGAAGCTATTGCCCAAGTAACTAAAATTATCTGCAGACAAAATTCAACAGTATTGCACTCAAAATACATGACACTCTGTAGAAGAGTTTTTCCTTCTCTGTTATCCTGTCTTCTATCTTAGGGAAACTTTTGGCCAAAAATCAGTTAAGATTCAATTGCATATGAAAAGAAAAACTGGACAGCTAAAATGTTAACATTGGTTCTATCTTGAATTTGAGGTTCTGGGTGGTATATTTTTTTGTCTGCTTCTTTATACTTCTATGAACTTGGACACATTTTTTTAGAATGAGAATATTTGGCTTTTATATTATACAAATGTGATGACACACCACAATTCTATTACCTAGGATAAATTTTGCTTGTGATAATTAGGTTTTCTGTTCCACTTGCTTATTTCTCTTGTGTGGAATGAAGTAGCTTGAATTAAAGATTAGATACTTGAGTTTCATCCCAGTCATCCTCCTAGGGATTAGGGACCTGTGGCTTGGACTGAATCTTCTATAAGAAGATAGGACCAAAGAACTTTCTAGTGTTTCTGGGTCTGTGAGTAACTTTGTAACTAAAATAAATAGTCTCTACCCCACTCCAAGTTTTTCAAAGTAAGACCAAGATTTATTTTCATGTTTCCTTTGGTGGTGAGACCTCAAGTATTAGGTAAAATTGCTTCATAAATTAAGCTGTGTGTACTCAAGTCAGGTATTATGTCTAATAGGTAGTTTCTTCTTGTTCATGTCCACCCTTGGGTATCTTGAATCCCTTTGGTTCACAGTATCCTGTATTGCTAGGATTAAGTTTGGCTATGGGAGTCTGATCCTGAGATTGTATCACTTCCCCCACAGAGGATTTTCATAGTCCACAAATCACTTTGTATTTTTTAGTTTAAATAACTGCACCAAATATACCAAGATAAGCTGTCATTGCCATATGCAGCAAAACATCATGTATATTCCACCATCACTGTTAAAAATACAGAAAAAATACAATTGTGTTTCTATACCTTCCTATATTTAAATCAATCTATGCCTCTATATGCTATACCTAAATACATAATTATAAGCATTTCCCTGATTTCCACTGTTTGGATACTTCAAACACAAGTTTTATGTAACTCTAGAATTATTTTCTGAGACATCAGTCACAGAAATGTTTAATCCTTCTGAAGTTGCTAGGAAAAAACACAGTCTGATCCTAGATGAGCAGCTGGTGCTGCTCACATGTGATACTGATGAACAATACCATAATAGTCCACCCAGCTGCACTCTCTTCTGAAGGCCAAGACCTGGCCCATAGTTGGCATGAGGTTCCAAGGAACCTTTTGATTTCCTTCCCACTGAAGTCCTGGCTGACCCCTGTGGTAGCTGAGCACTGAGCTCCTGTGGCTATTTTCTTGGGCTTAAAAAAAAAACCTAGCCAGAAGCTGAGGCTATAACGGGAATTCAGATAGTTGTTCCTTGATTGTATGTAATATGCAGAGCAAGGGTGTGAACACAGGCCCATTCTGATTCCCAGCATCACAGAGTCCATCTTTAACCATGGCCCTCAAGTCACTTCTCAGTTCTCAGAGGAAATCTTGATCCTGCAGTTTCTGATCTACACCTCCATTGTGGTCAGCAGCTTACTTTCAGTCAACAAAGACACAGATTTTGGCCTGTATTTTTGTGCAAATCCCTCTTGCCTCACCTCCAATGGGACATCCAGGTGTGCAATGTGCTGTGTGGCATTCTCCAGGCATCTGTAGGGCCAGGTTGTCAAGCCTGCCTTCCAGATGGCCAGGACTCTATTCACAAAGCTGGAGAGAATTAGAGCTAAAAGCAATGGGCTTTGGAGGTCAACCGGTTGGGGCCACTCATTTCACAGATAGGGATCCAGATCACAGCAGAAGGAAGACACTTGCCTAAAACAACAGCCTCGTAGTAGCAGAGTAAAACTTGGGACCATTTTTCCCCAGCCAATATTATTTCTATGGTGCATACAAAGATACTGCTGTAAGAAGGTTGTGGTTTACAGTATAAGCAACAGTGTGCAAACTGGGTCTGGCTTTGGTTTCTTGAGTGACTATTTTATCTAGAGTAGAGAAAGGCAGGCTGTGGGAGCTCATAGGGCACTCAGGTGACACCACAGCAAGGTAGAAGGCAGAGTGTTGCTGGGATGGAGATGGATGCAGCCTGCTGGATGACATGGGGAAGGAGGGTGGAAATCCCCTATCATTTTGCCCAGCACCATCTCAGGTCTCAGACATACTGTTTTTTCCTTTGCCCAAAATCTTAGGGTGTTCATTTCAACATGTCCCTTCAACCCCTGTTGACTCTGTTTGTTTCTTTGTGTGTTTAAATTATGTCACAGAAAAAATCGAACTCCCAAACAGCACGAGCACAGAAGTCGATATGACACCATCCAGTGAGGCTTCAGAACCTGTACAGAATGGAAATCTCTCCCACAGCATTGAAGCCGCAGAGACCCAGGTATGGCACTTTTCCAGGCTTTTCTGGGCTGCTGTTCCTACTGATGCCAGGGCATAGCAGTAGAGACCCTGAATCCTCCTTGGAGAGCCCAGCTTCCACCTGCATGGACACAAATTAGAGTTTGATTCTTTCTTGTGTGTATTTCCCAATATCAAACCATGACCCAGCATGTGTCAAGATCTACATTTATCAGATGACTACACATATTCTCTAAGCCACTGTTTTCAAGGAGAGATGGAGGACTTGTGCATCAGGACCCCCAGGAGTGAAAATGCAGCTCTCTGAACCTATCCACAGACCTCATAATTCAGATCTCTAGGAAGCAGCAGCCAGATATTAGCATTTTTAATTAGGTCCCAGGAGATCTTTAGTGTATGATAGTTTGATAGCTACTGCCATCTAATTCTTTGCATCTTTAAGCTCCGGGTAAATGACAGAGAAACCACAACCATAATATCTTGGTGAGTTCCCCTGGCCTTCTCTCTACCTGTAGTAGAAATGAATATTCTCTAGCCCAACCCATTGTTCCACCTAGTAGTTATAATACCTGTAACAGTTAACAAAACATCTACTGTGTGCCTCGGATTTGGTACTGGGAACTTCATGTATGTTACCATCTTTATACCTCACAGCTGATAATTTAAACAGTGGGATCTCCATTTTATAGTTGACAAATCTGAGTCCAGTGAGATAAAATAGTTAATTAGTATTACCTAGCTCACAGACAGTAGAGCTGAGATTTGATCCCAGGGGTGACTAAACATAGTACTAGACTATTTCCACCTTGTGACACTGCCTCAAAACCATAATTGCTCAGAAAGTAGCCAGGACCACAGTGGTACTTGTTAGATTTCTGAATCTCATCTTTATCCAGTGAATCAGGCATCATGAGATCAGGGCATCTCAAACTTTAAAATTCCCAGAGTCAGAGCGTGGGTCATGTTAAAAATCAGATTTGGAATTGTCAAGTCTGGAAGGATCTGGAGTTCTACAGGGCTCCTCAGTGAGGTCAGTGCTGCTGGTCTAATATCCATGCTTTGAGTGGCACTACCCGAAAGTTTGAAACTCACTCTCTTGCCGGAATTTTCCCAATGAGCTGAAAAGTTACATAGTGCACACAAGGAGAAATGAAACTATAGCAGCATACTCCGGTACTCTCCTTCCTCTCCTTTATATCTGAAATACTCTGCTCAAGAGGGAATCTGTACTTGTTAGAGGGGAAAAAAAACGTGCTAATTGTTGCCTGCTGCCTTTAATCCCTAATATGCATATGTAAAGAAAGTGTGTTTATATAAAGGAAAGGATTTTTAAAAACTCTCCCTGCCCTTATCTGCCTTAGACCCCTCACTCTCCTACGCAAGCCCTGTGGCCCCTCTGTGCATTTAGTAAGAGAGGAACCTGACAGAGCAACTTGGTCCACATGGACAAGCAGCATGTGGCAGTGGGAGGCAGGCCACAAGGACATCTGGCTGCCCTTGGGACTGACAGTCACAGATGTTCAGAGGGCTGCTCATCACCATGCCTCTCCATCTGACTGGCAAAGGGACATCTGTTCCTCTATGAGGGAAGACCCTGCTTCAGGGAAGCAACAATGTCACCTGACCCCTCCGCGAGCAGAGATGTACCCAGGTCTCAAAGTAGAAACCCAAAGTAGATTTGTGCACCATACAGGTGCACTCAAGCCCTTGAACAAAGGTGTCTTCAAAGAGCCAACCCACCAAGTGCAGAGCTCCAAATGCACCAAGGATGAGGCACCAAACCATGCTGAGATTTCATTTTTTCATGTCATCTCTCACAGTACCTGCCTCATTGCAGTTATTATGAAAGCTATGCGAGAGAATATGCATAAAGCACCCAGCATGGATCTAGATGCTGCTTATCTGAACTTACTTGTTGTTTAAACCCCATCCAAGATGTCCCTGCTCTGAAGGGGTTCATTGTAAGTAAAATGAAAAGGCATAGCATATACACATATTTGGTATTCAGGTTATCAATAACCAGTAAGCACTGTGACCTTGGATGATCATGGAAGTCCGCACAAAGTCCTCAGGGAGACACCCAAGTAAGAAATTAGTGCTAGCTAGGAAATACATCAAAACTCCACCAAAGAGGTAATATTGGAGTTGAGTGTCGTTGGAGGAGTAGGAGTCTATCACTCAGGGGAGAAAGAAATGACCAAAATGTCAACCTGTGCAACCGTGTAAGGTCTAAAGAAAGAATTCATGTTTAATGATTGGTGAGAAAGATGATAAAACTGGAAAGAAAAATATAAACTGAGGAGTGAGGAGAGATGCACCAGGAGAGATAAATTAGCTTAAATTCTCCAGTTGTTCATCTAATCAGAAAATATTTATTGTTCATCTGTGTCAGGTAAGACAGCATGCTGGGTACTAGAGATTCCCCCATGTTCTCACAGGACTGGACTCTCAGTATTAACCAGTGCAGTTGCAGACAGCCTCAGGGCCATGAGGAAGGCACAGCAGTGATGGAATGAGCAGACAGGCTCCTGGGGTAAGGAATGAGGAGAGGCTCCCACGAACGGAGTGTCTAAACTGACAGTTCACTTGGGGAAGGAGCTAGCCAAGGATACAAAATAGGAATGGACCTGGCTTGTTGGAGGAGCAGAAAAATTGATGTGGCTGGAGTGTGGGGAGGGAGGACAAAGACAAGTAGTGTGGTGGCACTGGTTGGTAAGGATAGAGCAGAGCTGGTGCACCTTATACACCATGACAGGGAAGTGACTTCCTTCTGGGGCACGCTGCTCTTCCGTACATGCCCACATGAGCGTCACACTCATAAACGTTTCCCAGGTTATGGTCCAGAGCATGGAAGTGGAGGAAGCATGGTTCATAGCAACAGCAAGGCTGAGCAGTGGCTGCAGGAGCCAAGGGAGGATCTGATGGGGCAGGAACTGGACTGGAGACACCGAGGGGAGCAGAAGTGTGGGGACTGAGAAGGACGTTCAAGCAATCTGCCCATCAGCCCGGGGGCATGGAGCTCTATAAGGGATTTAAACAGCATGGCAGCAGCGCTCGATGTGGGATGGAAAGATGACTCTTTGATAAAGACCAAGGAAGATCAGAATAGAAAAAGACTGGGTACAGGGAGTCCAGTGAGACACTTGTTTACCGGCCTGATCAGGCCTGTAGACTGTTTTTGCAAGGCTCATGAAATGAGAATGATTTTTACATTTTTTATTTAAAAAAATGATATAATAGCAACATATGTGACGGAGACCATCTGGACCTCAAAGCTGAAAATATTTACTGTCTGGCCCTTTACAGGAAAAAACTGTCCATCCCTAATATAAACCATCTGTAGTCTTTAAAGAGAAAGAGAAAAAATGAGGAAGTTTTCATGTACTGATTTGGAATGATCTTCAATACATGTTGTTAAGTGAAAAAGGCACCATGCCAGATGTATCTTATGCTGTAGGATAGTATAGCATACTATGTTATACACTGAAGACAAAAAAAAAGATAGAAGAAAATAATCTGTAATTACTTGCTTGGATGCTACCAAAACACTGGTCATGTTGATACCTTCAGAACAGAAATCTGGGCAATGAGAAACTTTGATGATCGGCTTTTCAAGGTGTACTCTTCTGTGGCTTTGGATTTTGAACCAGGTAATAGTATTATGTATTTTTAAAAAGGCTAACAATAATAATGGATTAAATTAAAACAGAAGCAGCATCCTTTCATCATTGGACAGGCTCTGGAGACAGACCACCTGAGTTCAAATCCCAGATCTGCTCCTTCTCAGCTGTATGACCATGTAATTTTTCTGTTCTCCATTTTCTTTCTCTGCCAAACAGGTGTGCATAATCACAGCACTGATCTTGTAGCATTGCCACGAGGATCAGTTGCTTTGGGAACAGTTCTAGATATGTAGTAAACCTCTCCTAAATGTCTGCTATTATTAGCACACTTAATCACAATGTCTTTTTAACAGCTATTAAGTAGTTTCAATGACAAGGTTGAAGACTTGGTTGTAGTGTGAATGAGTCTAAGTGGATTTGAGAGCTACTCCTGGGCCAGTGCTGAAAAATGTGTCCAGTGCTGAATAATTGGTCATAGAAAAGGAACAGGAAAAGAAGGCTTAGGTTTCCAAGCTGGGGAGACTGAGTGATCAATAAATTAGGGTTATGGCTCCAGAACTTTTTAAAAAAAAGATGGGAACATTCAGATCATCTGTAGCACAGTTTCCCAGAAATAATTCAATGCTTTTGTTTTTTTAGCTTTTTTGCTTTCTGAGTTGTGCTTTTATCAAGCTCCTTGCTGAGGGAGGTATGCACCCTGACTTTATTCATGGCAACTCTCACTGCTGGGATTCCCCTGAGAGTTCAACCTCTCTCTTTAATTAACCTGCTATTTTGAAACCCCTATTTACAAGGAAACTAATTTCGCACTGACACCTCATCTCTGAGGTTTCTCCAATACAGACTACACTGGTGATGAAGAGCCTTTAAAAAATCTTCTCTCACAGAAGACCAAACCCTGGGCAAAAGAGGTTTTGCTTCATGGTATAGTCTGTGTAACCAAGAAGTAATTTGACTTTTTAAATGGATTAGTACTAATTCTTTTCTCCCAAACTGTTAAAACAATGTTGTTGAGACCAGCAAAGAAACATGATTCCAGATTGCTAGCAAGAATTTACCAACTATCTCAAATTTTCAATATAGAGAATTTAAGTAGATTTGAAAGACATTTCAACAAAACAGTCTTTCCCACCCAGAAGCCAGCATTTTCTTACATACTGACTCTGCCAGTCTAGACAACAGCCAGACAACCCTCCCGTCTATGCTGTGAAGCTGCCTCCCTGGCTGCCAAGACAATTAGAAACCTTTAGCAACTGCTCACAGCAGGAGATGAAAGAAAAGGCACCTTGCAGCATTCTCGCATTCTGTACCTGAAGATCTAACTTTTTAAAACTTATGTCCTATATTTTCATGCAACACAAAATGGCTTTTTATGTCTTGTTTCATTTTACCTCTGAGA